CCACACACCCACCTTTGTGTCCTTCAATGTCAGTCCACCCACCCCACCTTTGTGTCCTTCAATGTCAGTCCACCCCACCCCCCCCCACATTTGTGTCCTTCAATGTCAGTCCACCCCAACCCCCACCTTTGTGTCCTTCAATGTCAGTCCACCCCCCCACCTTTGTGTCCTTCAATGTCAGTCCACCCACCCCACCCCGACCTTTGTGTCCTTCAATGTCAGTCCACCCCACCCCACCCCACCCCCCCTTTGTGTCCTTCAATGTCAGTCCACCCACCTTTGTGTCCTTCAATGTCAGTCCACTCCACCCCACCCCACCTTTGTGTCCTTCAATGTCAGTCCACCCCACCCCCACCTTTGTGTCACTTTGTGTCCTTCAATGTCAGTCACCCCCCCCACCCATTTTGTGTCCTTCAATGTCAGTCCACCCCACCTTTGTGTCCTTCAATGTCAGTCACCCCACCTTTGTGTCCTTCAATGTCAGTTCACCCACCTTTGTGTCCTTCAATGTCAGTCCACTCTCCACCCCACCTTTGTGTCCTTCAATGTCAGTCCACCCCACCCCACTCCACCCACCCACCTTTGTGTCCTTCAATGTCAGTCCACCCCACCCACACCTTTGTGTCCTTCAATGTCAGTCCACCCCCCACCTTTGTGTCCTTCAATGTCAGTCAGTTCCACCCATCCCACCTTTGTGTCCTTCAATGTCAGTCCACTCCACCCCACCCCACCTTTGTGTCCTTCAATGTCAGTCACACCCCCTCCACCCCCCACTTTGTGTCCTTCAATGTCAGTCCACCCCACCTTTGTGTCCTTCAATGTCAGTCCACCCACCCCCACCCCCACCTTTGTGTCCTTCAATGTCAGTCCACCCACCCACCTTTGTGTCCTTCAATGTCAGTCCACCCACCCCACCTTTGTGTCCTTCAATGTCAGTCCACCCCACCCCACCTTTGTGTCCTTCCCACCCCACCTTTGTGTCCTTCAATGTCAGTCCACCCCACCCCACCTTTGTGTCCTTCAATGTCAGTCCACCCCACCACCACCCCCCCTTTGTGTCCTTCAATGTCAGTCCACCCCACCCATCCACCCCACCTTTGTGTCCTTCAATGTCAGTCCACCCCACCCACCCCACCTTTGTGTCCTTCAATGTCAGTCCTACACCCCCCACCACCTTTGTGTCCTTCCCACATTTGTGTCCTTCAATGTCAGTCCACCCCACCCCACTCCCCCCCCACCTTTGTGTCCTGTCTCAGTCCACCCACCTTTGTGTTCTTCAAGTCAGTCCACCCACCCCACCTTTTTGTGTCCTTCAATGTCAGTCCACCCCAGTCCACCACCACCCCACCCCACCCCACTTTGTGTCTTCAATTCAGTCCACCCCACCCCACATTTGTGTCCTTCAATGTCAGTCCACCCCCACACCACCACCCACCCCACCTTTTGTGTCCTTCAATGTCAGTCCACCACCCCACCCACCCAATGTCCACCACCCCACCTTTGTGTCCTTCAATGCCAGTCCACCCCACCCCACCTTTTGTCCTTCAATGTCAGTCCACCTCCCCCACCCATCCCACCCACCTTTGTGTCCTTCAATGTCAGTCCACCCCACCCCACACCTTTGTGTCCTTCAATAGTCAGTCCACCCACCCCACCTTTGGGTCCTTCAAAGTCACCACACCACCCACCCCACTCCACCCCAACCTTTGTGTCCTTGAATGTCAGTCCACCCCACCAAACCTTTGTGTCCTTCAATGTCAGTCCACCCCGCACCACTCCACCCCACCTTTGTGTCCTTCAAGGTCAGTCCCACCCCACCCCACCTTTGTGTCCTTCAATGTCAGTCCACCCACCCCACCCCACCTGTGTCCTTCAAGGTCAGTCCACCCTACCTTTGTGTCCTTCAATGTCAGTCCACTCCACCCCACACCACCTTTGTGTTCTTCAATGTCAGTCCACCCCACCCCACCTTTGTGTTCTTCAATGTCAGTCCACCCCACCTCACCTTTGTGTCCTTCAATGTCAGTCAACCCCATCCACCCTTTGTGTCCTTCAATGTCAGTCCACCCCACCCCACCCCACCCCCACCTTTGTGTCCTTCAATGTCAGTCCACCCCACTTTTGTATCCTTCAATGTCAGTTCACCCCACCTTTGTGTCCTTCAATGTCAGTCCACCCCACCCCACCTTTGTGTCCTTCAATGTCAGTCCACCCCCAACTTTGTGTCCTTCAATGTCAGTCCACCCCACCCCACCTTTGTGTCCTTCAATGCCAGTCCACTCCATCCCACCCACGTTATGTTCTTCAATGTCAGTCCACCCCACCCCACCTTTGTGTCCTTCAATGTCAGTCCACCACACCTTTGTGTCCTTCAATGTCAGTCCACCCCACACCACTCCACCCCACCTTTGTGTCCTTCAAGGTCAGTCCACTCCACCCCACATTTGTGTCCTTCAATGTCAGTCCAGTCCACCCCACCCCACCTTTGTGTTCTTCAATGTCAGTCCACTCCACCCCACCCCACCCCACCTTTGTGCCCTTCAAGGTCAGTCCACCCCACCCCACCTTTGCGTCCTTCAATGTCAGTCCACCCCACCTTTGTGTTCTTCAATGTCAGTCCACTCCACCCCACGCCACCCCACACCACCCCACCTTTGTGTCCTTCAAGGTCAGTCCACCCCACCTTTGTGTCCTTCAATTTCAGTCCACTCCACCCCACCCCACCTTTGTGTTCTTCAATGTCAGTCCACCCCACCCTACCTTTGTGTCCTTCAATGTCAGTCCACCCCACCCCACCCCCCACCCTTGTGTCCTTCAATGTCAGTCCACTCCACCCCACCGTTATGTTCTTCAATGTCAGTCCACCCCACCCCACCTTTGTGTCCTTCAATGTCAGTCCACCCCACCTCACCTTTGTGTCCTTCAATGTCAGTCCACCCCACCTCACCTTTGTGTCCTTCAATGTCAGTCACCCCACACCACTCCACCCCACCTTTGTGTCCTTCAAGGTCAGTCCACCCCACTCCACCCCACCTTTGTGTACTTCAATGTCAGTCCACTCCACCCCACCCCACCCCACCTTTGTGCCCTTCAATTTCAGTCCACCCCACCCCACCTTTGTGTTCTTCAATGTCAGTCCACCCCACCCACCTTTGTGTCCTTCAATGTCAGTCCACCCACCCCACCCCCACCCCCACTTTGTGTCCTTCAAGGTCAGTCCACCCCACCCCACCTTTTGTGTCCTTCAATTTCAGTCCATTCCACCCCACCCCACCCACCTTTGTGTTCTTCAATGTCAGTCCACCCCACCTTTGTGTCCCTCAATGTCAGTCCACCCCATCCCACCTTTGTGACCTTCAATGTCAGTCCACCCCACCCCACCTTTGTCTCCTTCAATGTCAGTCCACCCCACCTTTGTGTCCTTCAATGTTAGTCCACCCCACCCCACCTTTGTGTCCTTCAATGTCAGTCACCCCACCCCACCTTTGTGTCCTTTAATGTCAGTCCAATCCACCCCACTCCACCTTTGTGTCCTTCAGTGTCAGTCCACCCCACCCCACCCTACCTTTGTGTCCTTCAATGTCAGTCCACCCCACCCCACACCACTCCACCCCACTTTTGTGTCCTTCAAGGTCAGTCCACCCCACCCCACCTTTGTGTCCTTCAATATCAGTCCACTCCACCCCACCCCACTTTTGTGTTCTTCAATGTCAGTCCACCCCACCTTTGTGTCCTTCAATGTCAGTCCACCCCACCCCACCTTTGTGTCCTTCAATGTCAGTCCACCCCACCCCACCCCACCTTTGTGTCCTTCAATGTCAGTCCACCCCCCCCCACGTTTGTGTCCTTAAATGTTAGTCCACCCCACCCCACTCCATCCCACCCCACATTTGTGTCCTTCAATGTCAGTCCACCCCACCTTTGTGTTCTTCAATGTCAGTCCACCCCACCACACACCCCATTTTTGTGTCCTTCAATGTCAGTCCACCCCACCTTTGTGTCCTTCAAGGTCAGTCCACCCCACCCCACCCCACATTTGTGTCCTTCAAGGTCAGTCCACCCCACCCCACATTTGTGTCCTTCAATGTCAGTCCACCCCACACCACTCCACCCCACCTTTGTGTCCTTCAAGGTCAGTCCACCCCACCCCACCCCATCTTTGTGTCCTTCAATGTCAGTCCACCCCACCTTTTTGTCTTTCAATGTCAGTCCATCGTTCCTGGATAGGGAAGAGTTGCAGAGGTGAGACATGGGGCGTTGGGGGGGTAAGAAGAAATTGGTGTACGGGGAAATTTGCAGTAAATCTTTCCATAGTGAAGAAATTCCTCTCTTAGTTGTCACCAGAAGAGGTGTCCCCATTGGAGGATTTCCCTTCATTTCCTCTTCTGGTGACAACTCTTTACACTTCTCATCAGTTTTTGTCCTCCGTTATATTGGTGACACCAGGACACACAGAGAGGGTGAATCTCCTCAGAGGGGACACGGATGACAGAGGTTCTAACCCCTCCTTACTCCATCCAAAACTTTAAAAAAAAAGTTTAACCTTCTTATACAGTCTGTTGGTGTTTTGGAGGCATTTTGGAGGATTTTGAAGATTTTTTCATCCTGACACCATAAAATGACGACTTCCAGCACCATGTGATAAAAAAACACCACAGAGTAGATTGCAAAGCTGTGAATGTGTCTTACTCTACAACGAATGATTCACCACCAGTGAATGGCACATTTATTACTTTATAAATACGACCATCTATGGTGACCCCAAATCTGATATTCACCAGATGTTTTCACTTCACCTCTGTCAGGTGACACCATCAGGGACCAGTGACACCATGATACATAGAGGAGAGGTGATGGGATCTGACCAATGATTCCACATTTCTGAGTTCCCCCCTCCACCTATCCATTGCATCCCGTACAGAAATACTAAGGGGGCCCCAACACACTTCACAGACCAAGGTTCCCACCACCCCCACCATCATTTTCGGCAGTGACTCTACCATGTCGATGATCTGGGACAGAGTGACCTGAAGGGTGACGTTCATCGCCTTGTCCATATCATCCACCGGGCGCAGAGCGTTGGAGTAATTCACAAAAAGGTCGTTCATCAGTTTGTAGGCGAATCTTCCCTGAGCTGGCAGAACACCTGAAATGACAGAACGGGTCAGAGTTACCGACCAGAGCAAGCATCGGGTAGTCTACAGGGCAGATGGTGGCAGATCCCCGGAGCAGATTCAAGGAGAATCATAGGAGAGCCAAAGAGGAAAGCCGAGATCCTTCTATGAGCTCTATCGGGGTATATAATATGACCATATAGATCTATGACAAGGCTGCAGCACTAAAAGTGAGACATGCCTTGTACAGAGAGGTCCTAAATGATAATCGTCCTGCTGTGTGCTCCCAATATTCCTCCCTCACCAAACGTGATGACCACACAACAGAAAGGAAGTCATAAAATGCAAATGGCACAAAACGTCCCTCGGTGAAGAAGATCACAATGTGTTCTTCTCAGATCTTCACCACGAATCAGTGTGTTGTTCTCAGATCTCCTCCAAGAATCAGTGTGTTCTTCTCAGATCTCCTTCAAGAATCAGTGTGTTCTTCTCAGATTTCCTTCTGAGAATCAGTGTGTTCTTCTCAGATCTCCTCTGAGAATCAGTGTGTTCTTCTCAGATCTCCTTCAAGAATCAGTGTGTTCTTCTCAGATCTCCTTCAAGAATCAGTGTGTTCTTCTCAGATTTCTTCTGAGAATCAGTGTGTTCTTCTCAGATCTCCTCTGAGAATCAGTGTGTTCTTCTCAGATCTCCTCCATGAATCAGTGTGTTCTTCTCAGATCAGATCTCTCTGAGAATCAGTGTGTTCTTCTCAGATCTCCTCTGAGAATCAGTGCGTTCTCAGATCTCCTCCATGAATCAGTGTGTTCTTCTCAGATCTCCTCCAAGAATCAGTGTGTTCTTCTCAGATCTCCTCCGAGAATCAGTGCATTCTTCTCAGATCTCCACCTCCACCAGGAATCAGTGTGTTCTTCCCAGATCTCCACCACAAATCAGTGTGTTCTTCTCAGATTCCTCCAAGAATCAGTATGTACTTCTCAGATCTCCTCCAAGAATCAGTGCGTTTTTTTCTGAGATCTCCTCCAAGAATCAATGTGTTCTTCTCAGATCTCCACCTCCACCAGGAATCACAGTGTGTTCTCAGATCTCCGCCTCCCCTATGAATCACATTGTGTTCTTCTCAGATCTCAACCTCCACCAGGAATCACAGTGTGTTCTTCTCAGATCTTCACCATGAATCAGTGTGTTTCTTCTCAGATCTCCACCACGAATCAGTGTGTTCTTCTCAGATCTCCACCACGAATCAGTGTGTTCTTCTCAGATCTCCACCACGAATCAGTGTGTTCTTCTCAGTTTTCCACCATGAATCAGTGTGTTCTTCTCAGATCTCCACCTCCACCAGGAATCACACTGTGTTCTCAGATCTCCAACTCCACCAGAAATCACAGTGTGTTCTCAGATCTCCACCTCCACCAGGAATCACAGTGTGTTCTCAGATCTCCACCTTCACCAGGAAGAACAATGTGTTCTTACTCAGTTGTCCACCACGAATCAGTGTGTTCTTCTCAGTTCTCCACCATGAATCAGTGTGTTTCTTCTCAGATCTCTACCTCCACCAGGAATCACAGTGTGTTCTCCTCAGTTGTCCACCAGGAATAACAGTGTGTTCTCAGATCTCCACCTCCACCAGGAATCACAGTGTGTTCTTCTCAGATCTCCACCATGAATCAGTGTGTTCTTCTCACATCTCCACCAGGAATCACAGTGTGTTCTTCTCAGATCTCCACCTCCACCTCCACTAGAAATCACAGTGTGTTATCAGATCTCCACCTCCACCAGGAATCACAGTGTGTTCTTCTCAGATCTCCACCAGGAATCACAGTGTGTTCTTCTTAAATCTCCACCTCCCATCTGGGGGGGGGGCATTTGGGGTTCCTGGGTGGGGAACCCGAGGACTCCTAACTACCAAGGATGGACTGAAAGCCTTATAGGATCTTGGCCAGTCGTGGAATCTGCGCTACCTCTGGTGGATTATTTGCCGGCCATGGACCTGTGCTGTCTCTGGTGGATTATTTGCTGGTCATGGACTCTGTGCTGTCTCTGGTGGATTATTTGCCGGCCATGGACTCTGTGCTGTCTCTGGTGGATTATTTGCTGGTCATGGACTCTGTGCTGTCTCTGGTGGATTATTTGCCGGTCATGGACTCTGTTGCTGTCTCTGGTGGATTATTTGCTGGTCATGGACTC